CAAGGGAACTTAATGTAGGAAATCTTGTGTGGCTCCATCTTTGAAAGGAAAGATTCCTGGATAAGAGAAAGAACAAGCTCATGCCAAGATCCGAAGGCCCCTTTAAAGTTGTGGAGAGGGTTGGATCCAATGCATACAAGCTTAAACTTCCGTGAGACTTTGGAATTCATGCTACCTTTAATGTCGGTGATCTTGCTCCTTTTCTATTTGAGGAAGATGTTGATTATAATGATCCGAAATGAAGGGTAATTCCTTTTGAAGAGGAGGGGTTTGACGCGGGTGCATGGAACTTGGTGGAGGAAGTTGAAGAAGTGCCACGTGTTGTGACACGTAGCCGTGTTAAACTCCTTGGTGGTCACCTCTCCGGGTTGACCATCATCAAACTCGTGTGACACTTAGATTGCTTAGAATAAAGCTCCAATGATTCCATGTGTTAGCCAAGAGAAAAAAACTTGTTTATGTATTACTCAACTTCAATCAGACATATATTTTTTATTATAAATAATTTTCAGGTGATTCAAATTGGAGATGAAAGTAGAGTCCGAGAGCTTTCCAAAAATAGCTCATATGCCAGATTTGATCAAGAAACAAAGAAGTTAAGAACGTTTGACGTTGAGATGTCCAGGCAGTCGCGAGGAGTGCCCGCTCCTCACAGTGGAGCGCCCGCTCCTAAGGAAGCTAATTGAGTTTTCAGAATTGAGGAGCGCTCGCTCCTACCCTTTAGAGCGGCCGCTCCAGAAACCTTGTTTTGAGCTGGCAACTTCATTTCTTTTGTGGTTTTTTTTTTTTTTTGCTATCTTTTAATCTTGGCCTTTCATTTGTAATCCAACGGGTGTAATTTAAGAATTTTAAGGTTTGTTTGTAAATCCTTTAAATAGGGCTAAGCTTGCTTTTGGGAACAACTTTTGATTAATTTGAAATCAATGAGATTTTCTCTCTCTACCCATAATCTTTGTGATTATTTGCTATCTTTGTGATTGCTTCCTTGTAATCTTTGTGGTTACACCTTAATCCTAACTTTACTTGGTGTTGGCTTTGATTAAGAATCCTTATTTCATTTATCTTGGTGATTTTTTGATAGGTTTATCTTGTTTTGTTGCTTTGAAATTGTTGTTAATTGATTTTCTCCCCTCTTTTCTTGGTTTTGTTGGTTGTTTCATATCAGCTTGAGTGCGAAGAGTGGCGCTCTTCTAAGGAGAACAAGTATGGTTCTTTTGAAGTACTCATGAGTTCCCAAGTGTAGCCAAGATTTGCGGAGTTGCTTAACCTTTCTAGTTGCATTACTAACTCCAACAATCCCCAACTAATGCAAACAGACCAAGGATCATGAAATCTGAATAGTAAATGAAAGTCTTAGAATTTAAATGCTAGTATCCGAAGATTTTAAATAACACGTTAGTGCACAAGGTTTTCAACACTTCCCTAGTGAGTATCCTAAGATTTAACTCCTAGGAGCGAGGAAGGGACCTTGGAAACACATACCTTGACTTTAGAGCTTAAAGTAATGCAACCGGAAAGGTTTTATCTTAGACTTAATCGGGTTGGCTCGTCCGACCAAGAAGGCGAGAGTAACTCTTTGGTTGAAAACTCATTATTGTACAACTATCCACTACATGGTCGTGTACCTTGTACTACATGACCGTGTACTTTGCTCTACACGGTCATGTGGCTTTGCATACGAACCGGTCTAGATGGTCGTGTACCCTCTTTCACACGACCGTGTGCGTCAGGTCTTATTTGAATTGGCTATCAGTTGTGCCTAGTTGGGCACAACATAACCTGATATGTGGTTTAGATTTATTTGGTTTCGTTGTATTTGAAATTTATAAATACAAACAGGAGCCTCTTCAATGAGACGACTTTGGAAAAACCCTAATCACATAAAACACAAACCAACCCTTTGAAATCTGAACAGTTCTTGAGTAATTCCAACCTTCGAGTTCGAGTACACGGATTACGTACGTAGTTGTGTAAAACTTGGGGGGCGTGCGTCACTAGGATACCTGTACTGGTGTTGGCGTATTTCCCTTCTAAATTAATGAGTTTCAAACCATGGCACAACTGAAGGAGGACAAAACTTTGATGTTGAGTATGGCGATTTTGTTTTCTTGGAATCAACAGGTATTGTTTCCAACAATAACCACAATGGTTGTGGGCAACCATTGGGTTCACTCTTACTCTCTCCAACTTCTTATTAAGAGCCTATTTGGGTTTACTCACGGGAATTAAGAAAGCTATAGATTCCTTAAAACTAATAATTGAATATACAAATATGCATGTGGGGTTAGAGAGTAATAGAGAGAAAGAAAAAGTAGTTGAGAATTATTGATGAGAGGGAGAGAAAAAGCATAGGGAATTGATGTCAAAAGTATAAAAAAAGAAAAAAAAAGGATGACAAATCATCAAAAAGAGAATAATATTACCAAAAGCTCAAAAAGTACAACCTTTGAATAGAAATCGGCTCTTAATTTTATTACCCAAAATGGAATACAAGCCCTTAATAAAAGCACAAAGGGAGTAGTGAATTTATTTAATGGTTTTTTCACCATATACCCGTGAGTTTTTTTGTTTATTCACTATATACCCCTAAAGTTTTTTAAATTCATCATATACCCCCGAGTTTTCACAAAAATACACCATATACCCTTGATGACTAATGATAGTTAACTTCGCCAGTCATTAGGGTTAATTATGACCTGAAAACACCCTAAATACATTCCCCTACCCCTGAAACCACCCACATTCCTTTTTTCCACCCCCAAAACCACCCCAGTTTCCTTTTCTCATCCTCAAAATCAATCATACGGATATGGTTATGGAGATTTGGAATGGTTTTGGGGGTTGGAGAAAAGAGAGGAGTGGTTTCAAGTAGGGGTGAAAGTTTGGTTTGCGGTTTGGATTATGGCCCAAACTAAAATAATTCAGTTTTTGATTTTTCAATCCAAATCCAAGCTGAATAAGAATTCGGTCCAATCCAAACCGAACCGAATTGTCAATAAAGAAACCGAATCCAATCCATAAACCGAAATTCTTGGCTTAATTTCTATAGATTTGCAATTTTAATTATTTAAATATTGTGCAAGTTAATTACTAATTTAAATACAAATTATAAATTAATACCTAGAAAATTTAATTACAAATCATTTCAAGAACAATATTTGAAATTAAATTTCGCACCCCTCGATTTCTTCAATGCTTCTTGGTGTACTCCTTGCCGAATTGTCGACCATAGAGCTAGTGGCGATCAAGGTTGCCTTCGTCTAAGTTGCAGACGAAAGAACAAACACAAACTATTGGGTGCGATCTGACCCAATATGTTTTGTGCGACAGAGGAGATGATGATGATGATGATGAAGACGACGACGATGATGACGACAACAATAGTGTATGAAGACATCAATGGTGGATGACAACGATGACGATTTGAAAATGGTGGCAGCAATGGTGGATATGCGATTGAAACCCTAGATGTGAAGCAGCGGCTGGTATGGTGGACATCGGTGCTGGTGGCGGTTAGAAATGTGTGGCAATTTGCAATTGAAACCCTAGATGTGAAGCAGCGGCTGGTACGGTGGAGTTCGCTGCTGGTTTGCGTGGTTGGGCACTTCGCCTGGCTACACGGCTGATCGTGGCTATGGCTGGAGCTGCGGTATGGCCGGGTAGGGTGCTCATAGTAGGTCTGGTGTTTAGGGGAGAGGTGGTGGTTGGACGGTGCAAACGTTGCACGTCCTAGTTGCTGCCCTGCTGGCTGCGTGGCTAAGCAGCGGTGGTGCTGTTGTTGGTTGGGCATTTAGGGAGCAGCCGGTGGTTTGTGCGGTTGTTGTTATTGTTAAGTTGGTGTTGATGAATTGGGGGAATAGGGGAGTCTTGCGTGAGTGGTGAGAGGAGAAAATGAAGTAAAATAAAACTAATGACGCATATCGGCCATTAAAATGAACATATCAGTCATTGATGTCTGATATTAGTCAATTTTTTAGGGATAAATCAAACATTAATAAAAATGTATCAGTCAACACAAGGAACACATCGGCCAACAAATGAAACATATTAGCCAACAAAAAGGAACATATCATCTAACTAAAGATATATATCAGCCAACAGAAGGAACATATCAGCCAACAAATGAAGCATATCAGCCAACAAAAGGATGAAATCAGCAAACAAAAGCAACAGGTAAGCTAACAAAATAAACATATCAACCAACAATTAAAATATACATATCAGCCAACAAAATAAAGATATCATCCAACTAAAGAAACATATCAGCCAACTGATGTCTTATAGCAGCCAACAAAAGGAACATATCAATTTTTTATTTTTTTTAAAAAACATATCAGTTAACAAAAGAAATATATTAACCAACACAAAAACCATATCAGCTAACAAATGAAACATATTAGCCAACACATGAAACATGTCAGCCATGCCGACAAGTGAAATTTATCAGTCAAGCCTGCCACACGCAAAATTTCGTGCGACAGTTCGAAGAAACATGAGGATTTGAGCATAAGAGAAGCTGAGAATGAAAGAGAGAGGAGAGAAAAAGAAAATCTAAAAGAGGCGGTTGAGGGTTTTGGAAAATTAGGGGTTTGCTTTTCTTTTTATGTGAGATTGGGTTGACTTAAGTTGGTGGGCTTTTGGGCCTAAATTATAATTGTACATTTACATCTAATTCGGTTTGGTTCGGTTTTTTATATTTTGAAGACCTTAATACCGAATGCAAACCGAAATCCAATTTTTTTTATTTTTCCAATCCGATCCAAGCCGAATTGAAAAAAAAAATCCAATCTAAATTAATAATTTGGTTCGGTTTTCGTTTTGGTTTGGTTTTAAACCATATTACTTTCACCCCTAATTTCAAGGATGAGGGGGAGATATCTAAGGTGATTTCGATGCATAATTAACTAAATTTCACTCATCTTGTTGCCTTTAGGGGGTATATGGTGAATTTTTGTAACAATTCAAGAGTATACGGTGAATTTGAAAATTTTCAGAGATATATGGTGAATAAACAAACAGTTATGATAAAAAACCGTTTTTTTATTTTATTCATCTATTTTTTTTTTTTACAGCCAAAAGGTTAGTGATGAACTTATCAAAGTACTGAACTAAACAGTACAAAATTGTTACTATTAAAAATTCAACTGTCAGAGCAAGTGGGACCCCATGAAAGTACTCAAACTGCTAATAACTACTCTCCACGTGTTCGGTGAGATTGAATTTAGGTACCAATCTTAAAGACAAAATTACACTAATTAAAAAAAACCCAAAATTAAGTTAAAATAAAATAAAAAAAATTGAAAACCTCTTACAGCAGCAAACTGTTCAGTTGGATGAGAGAGAAAGAGGAAAAGAGTGAGTGAGTGAGAGAGACACAAGATTTTCTTATTAACGTCAGCAGAATCAAAGTATCTCTTCATTTCAAGGAGAAGTCACAAAAACTTCAATTATCACATTCACATTTGTTTTTAGCATTTCATTGCATTATTAAGGTACTCCCCTTTTTGATTCATTTTTATTTTATATTTTTTTGTACTTCAAAAGTTATCTTGAAGACTTATATTCAGATGTCTAAATCTAGAAAAAATTTCATTGGATTCACTGGAATTTTATTGGTGTTTTATTGTGGAAAAATGAGTTAATTTTTGGTGGGTTTGTTGGGGTATTGAATTAGTTTTAGTAATGTTAGGTTGCTAAATAAATTGGGGTTTATGTTTTGAAAGGTATGATCTATGAATTTGTGTCCATAACTTGAAATGCTGATGTTTTGACCAAATGGGTTTGCTTTTAAGCTTATTATAAATCTTGGGTTTATATCCTTTTTCTTAATTTTTTGTTCAATATTTGAGTAATGGGTAAATGGTGTATCTCATAGTTTTGTGCATTCAAAAATTGAGATTTAAGCTATAAAGTTCTGTCATTGGCGGGGATACTTTCACTGTCGTGTAGGTGGTATGTTCTGTTCACAGGGTAGTGCTGAATGTGAGTTGATCTCCCTGGGCCATTTGCTAGGCAGGAGCCGAATTGGGTTGTTATTGCTTAATGTGTGCTTAATAATATGTCCATGGAGGCTATTTTGAACCAGATTTTGTGTTGTTTTTTCAGAAAACTGTGACTTGGAGCCATCAGTAGAGTAAGATCATATATTCATGCTGCTCCTGTGGGGTTTGTCAATTGGTCATATCGCTCCTGTCTAAAAGTAGAAGACCAATTTGGGGGCAGCTTTAGTCTTTGCACATTAAGGAACTTGAGGGGTGAAAATTTTACAATTGTCTTGGTAAATGGTTTCTATATAAGTCCCTTCAAGTGAAGGGGTATGTAAATTTGTTGGACTTGCAAAGCTCGAAGAGAGCAGCATTAGTTAGGCAGTTGGAAGTATAGTTGGATATGAGTATGCTGAAAGGGACATGCTTGAGCCAAGGCAAGCTGATATACCTGCCCTGTTTCTGTTCCTTATTGTGCTGCCAGTGGTTTTGTACATCTTACTTGGAAAATGGAGTGAGGCTTCAAAGAAGAAAGAGAGGGTAAATTTACTTGTTGAAGAGGCATTCGTAGAGTCTTTTAGGCCGGAATCAATGGCAACTGCTAGTGTTATTCCTCCTGTTGCACCCTCTCCAACTACTGCTTTTTGGGAGTGTGCCAGATGCCATAGCCCGGCTACAACACGCTGCTCAAGATGCAAGTCTGTCAGATACTGGTATGTCCATATTGCCAGTTGCAAGATAATTCCATTTTTTCTGCAAAATAGGGATTGCTTGATGTTCTTGCTCTTGTTTCTATGCTTAAATAGAGATTGGAAGACATTATGTATTGATATTTCCTTGAATAGAGTTTTGTTGTATTGAAGGGATTGCATTTCACTAAGCTGCTGGTATATTTTTCGTCAATGAAGGTGTGTTTCGGCTGTTTTGGTGTTCATGATATGAGCAATAAGCATATGAAAACTAGTATCACTAATCTAGAAAGCCACATAGGGAATAAATTTCACAAAGAAACTAAGAAGAATACAGAAAATCAAGAATATGAGGAGACATGCTCTCCTAGCCCCAAAACTCAAACTTAAATAATTGGGGTTCTATAGAGAAGCTAGTACGTATGAAATTCCTGCCTTTACTTGGTGATTCTTAGCTAGATTAGTTGCACTTATCTGTAGATTAAAATACAATAAAATCAGATGAACTTTTGTTGAATTTCCTTATCTGTGCTATCGGTATTGTGATCTATGTTGAAAAAAGAGATACTATGCACAGTGATGCTCACCTAAATGATCTCTTGTGCTTTTAAGTGCCTTTTTCTTTCTCTACTCATTCAATTTTAGCATGTGGCTAGTCTATAGAAGCTCAGCCCATGGGTAATTTTACCTTGTGTATTGAGTTTAGAGTGATTATTACCGCCAAAGTCAACCCTTGCACTTCAGTCAGTTTCAATCGAAATTCAATGTGTGAAAGGTTTTCAGAGAAGTATTTAAAGTTTTGTACATGCATTCCAAGCCAAGAAATGATCCTAAAGAATAAAGAGGGCAGCAAAATAATACTAGTTAACAACCTTTAGATTCTTTTAACCAAACTTTGAGAGAGATGCTCCTACATTACTACGGAATCACATTTTCATGAAAATGCTTCCTTTTGTACCAGAACTTTTGAAATCATCTTTTTGGATGGTATCGCAATAATGAAAAGGTTTAGAGTCACTAATATTTGATCGCATGTCTTGAGGAATCATGTTAATGTATTTGCACATAAAAAAAATGTGTCTATGTGCATTTACTACCTTTCAAGTAGTTTCTCATGATTGAGAATTAACAATTCCATAACAGTTCTATAAGCTAATGGTTTCCTTATTGAAATTCTTTTTTTCTGAATTGTAACAAGTAACAACTTGATGGAGTGGAACTGTGGAAGGGTTATAGATCTCTAGGCGTTTAATAAGCAACCTGTAATGTAAATTTGCAGTCAATTTTAATTTTTTAAGTGGTAGAGAGTGTTATTCACCTAGCTGTAGGCATACAAACATTTGCACATGAATCTGAACTAAAAAGGTTTAGTGCATATCCAATTATCTTTGGGAAAACAAATTTCAAACATGTCTAAACATTTATATCTCTAGACTTGACATACTACAGTGAGATTTAACGAAATGAAGGCAGTAATTCTGGGATCCACAAAGGATTGTAGTCATATCCTTTAAAAAACAGTCCTTTTTATTTTGCCGGACTTTCGATGTGCTCTTGAGACATATAGTAATGATAAGTATGTTACTTAGCCTTTTTGCACTTAGGAACAAAGGACTTCTGCTTCTAAGTGAAAATTTCTTCACTTGGCTACTCCCGAGACCTTGAATTTACATTGTTAATTTGAGTGCAGTTCTGGAAGGTGTCAGATAATTCATTGGAGGCAAGGTCATAAAGAGCAATGCCAGCCACCAGATGATATCTACTCTTCTTTTAAGCCTTTTTCAACAGAAGAAAATGTTGGGAGGGATTCTTGTCACAAAGTTGCATATCATCAGCTCAATGACTGTCAATCACAGCTCACTGATGCCAGTTCTTCTGGTGCTTCCCCTGCTGATACTTCAGCTTCTGTGGATGCTTGTCAGATATCAAGACAAGAGAGGATACCCTTAGAAAAGCGAGGTTCACGCAGATCCTCTAAGAAAATGCCGGATTGCAAAGGTAGAGCAGCATCTATCTCCAATGATATGTACTTGAGGAATGATTCAGATCCTTCAAAGGAGGCTTCAACTAGGCATAAGGTTGGTTCTTGACATGTTTTTATTCAATTCTTCATGTTTCTATCTTTTATCACCTAGTTGCAATTTATTTCTGGAAAATCAAACATGTAAACTGCATTTGGTGCAGTTAAAAGGTAGGGAGCCTACGAACTTGGAGGATGGGCTCAAAAGTCAGACACGAAACTTGTCATCTTCTACTGAAAGAGGCATGAATGTGAATAAAGGAACTTCAGAGTACAGTTTACCAATAAGAGAAGCAATGAACTGTAGTGAAGAAATTTCAAAGAGAAACACTTTCTCTCAAACGTTCTCAAACTGCGAGAACATCAAGTCAAAAAGTGCAGCAGACTCTAAATATGTCAAATCTGATTCTGGAAAGTCAATACCTAAAGTAGCAAGAGATCAAGCACACTTGGAAAAAGTGAGGAAGGGACATGGATCTGGTGAACCAGGTAACAAACTAGATTTAGTGTCCTCTGATACATAATTATTGTAGTTTATATATGTTGAATGAAAATTGCTTCATTTTTTATTTATTTATTTATTATTATTTTTTTTAATATGTTTCCATATATTAAGACAGTTAGTTAAGATATTTTTATGTTAGGTTCATGCTAGTTGTGCATTTGTTTTCGGAGGAATTTCAGACAAGTTTATTTAATAATTTTATGTTGTAAACCACCAAAAGTAATACTCTCTCTGCTAGTATACTTTTGTGTATAAATTACGGAAAGGTGGATTAAGAGATAAATTGTAAAAGGTGGATGGGTGTAAGAAATACTTATCTAAAGTAAGCTATAGTGAGTGGAAGGTGGAAATATTGTGGGATGAAGGGATAAGATAGTAAATTGTGTTAGCTAAACGTCATAACAAAACAGAGGGGTAACAAAACCACCTATTTGATACATCCTCTATGTCCTAAATATTGCAACATTTGTGTTTTTTATAATGTTCACACACTTTTCTTCAACCATATTCTGATTTATATGGAAGGGAAAGTATATTCATTATATTTAACAAAACTACTTATTTGATACTTCCTCCGTTCCCTAAATATTGTACCATTTGCATTTTTTATGTTGTTCACACACTTCTCTTCAACCACAGATTTTGATTTATTTGTAAAAGAAAATAGAGTCATATGAAGTCTTGTTAGATCATCTTGATATATACTATCATAGGTTCATAGTATCAACTTTGTATACTTTTAACTCTTATATTATCAAAGATATTTAAGGTTGAATATGTGCTTTGGGATGCAAAAATCCCCCTAGGATGCAAAATATGGGGAACAAAGGAAGTATTTTGATTAAATAAAACATCTTTCTCAAGTATCAACTCTTTCACAATAGTGTAGACATATTATTCACTATGATGGACCAATTAGTTTTAAAAACCATGCATATGGCATTTGTTTTATTTATCAAGTTAGGGGTGATGACCTTTGCTTGATTTTTAGGAATTGAACCATAGTTTACCTATATTTGGGGATTTTTCTCTAAATAAAACTCTAATTTTTTTGAACGTCTTAAAAGGAACCTCTAGTGGCAAAATAACATTGGTGTAATCATTAAGCTTAGAGCTGTTTTCAGACAATCAAATAACGTCCGAGTTATTTTCCTTTACCCTCTGCTCCTCACTCTCTCCTCCCAAAGCTCCTCCTTAATGCAAACATGTCTCCTTTTATTTATTTATTTATGTTTATTTATTTTTTTAAATTTTTTTAGTTTCCTCATTCCCTCTTATTTGCCTCTTCTATTGTAACGACATACTTCATCTCAGTAACAACATTATGGAAAGAGGAGAATGAGGCTAAACCTATAAAATATGGCAGCTTTACTGCCTTTCTTTCTCTTCAATATAGGTACTACCCCAGTGTTCAACCCTCTTAAGAGTTTAGGATTTTCTCCCAACTGCCCATTCTCATTCTTTTTCAGGATGATCTGATTGTGGCCAATTCCACTATAGATAGAAACCTGATTGTTCACCTCTTAGGCCTTATCTTGTTTACCTTAACTTTATAAGGAAAGATAAGTTTTGATAAGGATTAATAAATTTAGATAAGATTAGTTGGAAAAATATGTTCAAATTAGTTTTGATAAGAGTTAATAAGGGCTACCAAGTTCTAATTACAACTAATATAAGTTTAATAAGTTTAATATATATCTAATAAATTAAGATAAATTCCACCAAGTTCATATAAGTGAAAATCAGGTGAATAGTACGCACCCTCGATTTAATGAGGCTTTTCTCACTTTAATTGGTGGTTTTTTTTTGTTTTTTTTTTTTTTTTGTTGTTGAACAATGATTATCATTTTTGTTAAATTAAGTGATTTTCATTTAGTTTTGGTTTACATTTGGATCATAATTAGCTATTTTTAGCAATTTGCCTCAAAGAATGGAGCCAATGATCCTTTACACTACAAAGATTGCTGCTAAAGAATTGGTAATGGCCAAAATTAGAGGTTCATAGTGTAGTAGTGTGGTATATGATGGCGGTAGATGCAAGGGTGCAAGTAGAATGGTGGTAGAAAACAATGGAGTTTGGGGTATAGGTGATGACCTAGTAATAGGGTGGGATTGGTGAGTCTTTCTTGGTGTGTAATATGGTTTTATACATCTTAATATTTCTGAGGCAAGGGGTAGGGAATAAATGAAGAGCCCTTTGTAATAATTGATAATCCTATGTTGAAAAGTGGTAATAATCAAAATTCTATAAACCAAGGTACCAAACACATTAGAAATGGAATTTAGTGCCATGCTGTGCTTGCTTTTGTTTTATTGAGTAGTGAAAAGACATAGGAGAGGAGGAAGGAGAAACGAGAGATAGGAATACTTATCATAAGAAAGCTTAATTATAACATGATTAGTTAATGATTAACTCTTTCTATAAGTTTCTTTTGAACAAATATTATTACTTCAAGGTCATCAAAGTTTCTAGTAAGTCCAGATTATGTGAAAGCACGATTCTTTTTAATAGTTTAAGGCCCTTTATAATTTCTATTGACCCATTACTCCTCCATCCTACAAAGTTTTTATAACTTTCTTTTTGTGATGTTCTAATATTGTGTGCTCTAACTCAAAGTAGTTTAAAAGTGGCTACTATTATTTTACTCTTGCATTTACCTTAAAAAATATCATTTTGGCTCATGTCATGTGATGTGACAAAGTCACCGGCCTACCGTAACCCTCTTCCTTTATTGACAGCGGGAAACCCACCGTCGGATTAGTTTTTATAACTTTCCTTTTGGTTCATTTAGCCGGCCCCACTTATGGGGATTAAAGCTTTGATTGATTACCTTAGAAAGTGATTGATCTGACATGATTTAAATAGGCACAAAGCCATAGAATTCTATATAATGATGGGAATATGGCATGACACATATAAAGAGATGAGCAAAACTAATCCTATTAAAAATGCAAAAGGTCAAGTGTATTTTTTTTTTAGGACAAAGGGAGCATGTTATTTTGCTCTTCTTGTTGCAACAAAAGAATTTTGCAAATTTTAAAATGAGACGAGGAATGTAGTGAGGGCCTCATTGTTTGTATAGAGAAAGGTAAATATGTGAAAACATAAGGTGTCTTTATGAGTCCTATTTTAGTGATAGCTGTTGACGATATACACTCTATAACATATCATTGAACATCTCTTTGTAACTTCTTATTTCTTTTTTAAGATTAATTGGTTACTAGTGTAGTTTTTCTCTTATCCTACATGTAATTGATTACATAGATTTGAAAGTACCAAAATATGTCCTAATGCCACTATATACATTGTGCCTAATGTGTATAATGATCTACATATTGGTGAAGTCAGTGTTTCTTCTTTATTGTATTCTGCTGATGTATTAAATGTTTTTTTTTTGTCTGTTTGTTATTTTAATCTTGTTGAAAGCTCCTAAAATGGGCAATTTCACCTCCTCACATGAAACCAATTGTATCACAAGCATCAGGTCAACGAAATCTGTTGGCCTCAAAAAGTTATCAAAGATGTCCAGAAAAGCTACCTCTGAAATGGACGTTGGTAGTTGTAAGAGAGTGAAGGTCAGTTGAAAATCAAAGTCACTATGATAACGGTACAAAATGTCTCAGAACAATTTATTGCTATTGTGTCACAGTGTAGTTTTATCAAGCAGATTGATTACTCCGCTTATATACATGTCAGGTGCTGTTCCCTTTTGAAAAGTTCTCAAAGTTCTTTGAAGTTGAGGTGTTTGACTTGATACCTAGAGGTCTTCTAAATTGCGGAAACAGGTACTTCTTATTAGAATAAAATCTATTTCTTTAATCATTTGGACTTCACACTATATTTTAATGGTGATAAAAAATTAAAAAGTATAGTAAACTATTATAACTATGCTAACAAGTAGTGTGGGGAAATTTTTGCAAAGTATTGACTTCTCTGTTTCAAAGTTTTCACCCTATGGTTTAGGCTCTCAGATTAAGGAGTGGGTATAAGGATATGGAGTGAGTAATTAAAATACCCCAAAATGGCAGGGTAGAATTTTGAAACAGATGGAGTATATCAGATTTCTGTTTTTCAAATCATGTATAAGATGGTAGGCTTTTGATCTTTGATTATTATAATTATACTGTATTTCGGCTTTCACAATTTTGTTGGGGCAATATCATCTTTTGTAAGGAACACTAACAAGTTTTGCATAGACCTTTTTCCCTACAACCTCCTCCCTCTGTCCTTGCCCACTGCAAAAAACCTGTACTCAGAGTTGCTTTTACACAGAATACTGATACAAATGATAAGAGAGACTGGAAATGTTATACAAATTATAAAATGGATAACTACTGGTTCATGTTTCGAAGATAACTGCATGTATCCGTAACCTGTTGAGTTCTTCAAAATTCTTTATTGATATTATAAATCACGTTTAATGTTTTTAAAGTTATTGACCTAAATTCTTGTTTATTTTTTATATGCAGTTGCTATGCAAATGCTGTGCTGCAGTGTTTAACCTGCACAAAACCTCTTGTTGTCTACCTTCTGAGCCGAGCACATTCAAGAACCTGTAAAAAAAGTCTATTTTTTCTTTAAAGTGGATTTAATGATGAGGGCTATTTCCTGGTCTCTAATTATCCAATCTGTTATGTTCATAATAGGCTCCCTCAATAATTGGTGCTTGATGTGTGAGCTTGAGCAACATGTGCATATGCTAAGAGACACTGCAGGGCCTTTGTCTCCAAGCAATATTTTGTCGCACATACGGAGTATAAATTGCCAGATAGGTGATGGAAGTCAAGAAGATGCACACGAATTTTTAAGGTTTATTTTAATCCAAAATAGTGAAATTGCAATTTCTTTGTCTTGCTAATGATCCTACTTTGTGAAGCAATTTAGTCATTTTGGTTGATGTAGCCCTATAAGAAGAAGAAGAAGAAGTTACTCCTACATACTCCTACATATAAAGTTTCTGATTGGTATTCATGCCCTTTTCTTAGGCTTCTAGTTGCATCAATGCAATCAATATGTCTAGAGGAAGCCGGTGGTGAGAATCAGGTTCACCCCATTTTGCAGGAAACAACATTTGTTCAACAGACATTTGGTGGGCGCCTTAAATCAATGGTATAGAATATCTGTGAAATCTGTGGGAATTTTCTAACAATGTTGGAGAGCATTGATGTTCCCAAACTTCCAGCAATCTGAGAATTTGAAGTTCTGCTTATTATGTTTGATTATATGTGATAGCAATACGTGTTTTTCAATTTTAACAAACAGGTAGTGTGTTTGAGATGTCGCCATGAATCAGAACGATATGAGAACATAATGGATCTGACATTAGAAATCTTTGGATGGGTTGAATCACTGGAAGATGCACTGACTCAGTTCACTAATCCTGAAGATTTAGATGGAGAGAACATGTACAGATGTGGAAGGTTTGGCAAATTTTCTTTTCATCAATGGTTAGGATGCTTTCAATTATGTCAGTGGATTTAATCAAGTAACACCCATACATTTGCATGAAAAGGTGTGCTTCTTACGTGCGGGCTAGAAAGCAGTTGAGCATTGATGAGGCTCCCAACATTCTTACGATTGTCTTAAAGAGGTTTCAGGTTTTGCTCCACCCTGCATTATCTTGGTTTATGCTTCTCAATTATTTGATTTGCCCCTTTCGATGTTTCGTATAATAATTTATCATTAATATTTTCATTGAGCCTTGAACACACCCAATATGAATCCTGCCTAATTTTACTGACATATTAAAGACAACTTGTCTCATTCGTAGCATAGCTCTAGTTACATAAAAGCCTCAGAGAAGAGGACTAGATAGATATTTGAATAGTTGATTTCACCTAATAATATCAGCACATAGGCAATTCATACTTTTTGGTCGTCTTTTGAGCACCCTAGGTTTATTACTGCTTTGTAATAAGTATTATATTCAGCATGAAAAGAGATGGTGCTATGTTATTATAAGAAGTAATGTGTGTGCTGAACTTTTTAAAAGAGAGTACTTTACACCTGATCAAAAGGCTTTAAAGATATTTGCATTGTTGATGCATACATGCTGGCTATCAGCATCATCACTTATGAAGGAGATTATAGAAGGGATAGCAGTTCAGACTAGGCATCTCGTGCTTCAACTGTTGTTAAATTACAGAATTGGTATCTTTGCCTGTGTAATTTTACCATGCAAGTGATTTGTTTGTCCTTTTTATGTGGTTTCACCTAGGTTATTGCTTAATTATTAGACTGTATTGACTTGCTATGCCTTGGGAATTACATAAAAGAAAAAAAATATGGCTTTCCTTGTGCAGGAAGGAAATTATGGCAAGATAAACAAATGCATTACTTTTCCCGAGATGCTGGACATGGTCCCATTTATGACAGGCTCAAATGACTGCCCTCTGCTTTACATGCTTTATGGCGTGGTTGTGCATGTGGATACGTTAAATGCATCATTTTCTGGACACTATGTATCTTATGTGAAGGATCTGCAGGAAAATTGGTACAGGATAGATGATACAGTGGTAATCTCCTAGTGTCAATTCCCTTTTTCGTTTCCTGTTCGTTTTTCTCTTTTAATTGCCTTACAGTGCTTGTTAATATTCATTCTATGAACATTTGCATGACACTACCATGACAGCCTCTTTGCCTTTTAGTAAATTAGATTAGTTATCCAATAATTTTAGTTTAGTTTCCCAGGGCATCTTTAGATGCAAGGTTATGTCTATTTGGAATCATTACGGTTCGATCCACACCTCATCGTTGCACTTTTCTTTCTAAGGATTCAAAACAGAGCTAGCAATTAGTTTCTCATGAGTAAAACACATTCATTTATCACATTCTGAATTTTTTTTCATACGTGATATTTGGCACTTAGGTCCAAAATGTAGTTTCCGATCCATAGACTTTATATCCCTTAACCTTTTTTCCTACCATCCATCCCCAAAATTAGAGAGGAAAGCAGATGTTCTAACGTGTTTGATGTACTTAACAAAATGAGACATGCTGAAATAGTAGTTTGTTGTTTGGCAAAAATAAAATAAAATAACGTGGCTTACTAAAAATGACAAAGTTATTAATTTAAAGAGGCAATTGTCAACATATCTATGTTTTGAATGACTACCACCTTGGTTGTGGGTTTAAAGTATCAAGATGTATGTAGTTTTATCTCTAAACCAGTGAAAGCAATTATAAACTGATACTACAAAATTAGATGCTTTTAATATGCTATTTGTGCTCTAGTACTCATGGTGATTGTCATCAGGTTCATCCAGTGTCCATGAGCCAGGTGATGTCAGAAGGAGCATATATCTTGTTCTACATGAGGTAACTCGAATTTATTAGCATTTTCCTGTTAAAAATAAAAAGCCTTTGCTTGGTTGATTTGTATACACAATACAGGGTCTTTTGCGATTTGAATGAGCACTTTAATGAAATCTAATAAGTGGTAGTAGAGCAACTAGAGAATGATTTTTTCTTTACTTTACCATGAAAGTCCTTGTTCTTATGCATTAGGCAACACTTTCTAACTTCAAAGTTGCCCTCCTCTGCCCCTTCCCCATGGTTGAAAAGAGGGAAGGAAATTACGCTGTCGTTTGTCGAAATACAAGTAGTTTTTTTAGGAGTCATTGATGACAGGTTTTTAGCTTTTTTATAAATGAAAGAAACTTGCCTCACCTTTTAAGTAATTGCTTTAGAAAGTTTCAAAAGTCAACTTCTCTTTTGGTCTTTACAGTTATAAACCTCAATTAAAGCTAATGTGAGGAAACATTTGAGAGTTTTTAGATGGCTAGTTTTAAACCACTAGTTTTCAGACATAATTTGCTGACACTGCAATATTAAGGTGAATTGTAGCTACTATTGCTTGCAATTTCATTGTAGTATCATATGTTTCATGTGCTTTTGTGGAAAGCTCGAGCAACAACTTAGCATGACTATTACAGTCTTCCATCTCTGAGATTTTGAACTTTATGTTGTTTCAATAGGTCTTTTCCTCGACCACCAAGAGCCTATATAAAGAATGCTAGAAAGCAGCAAGTTGTCAAGTCTTCAAGATCCTGTATCACCAAAACCCATAATTCTTCCAAAGTAGGACTAGATGTTCCCCGGTCCAACAATAGATATAATCAAGCCGTTGAAATGCATGCGGATCATCCCGAATTATTTTCTGATGCTACAACCAGTGATTGGTCCCTTTTCACTAGTTCAGATGAAGCATCTTTCACCAGTGAAAGTACACGAGATTCATTCAGTACCGCTGATTATTCTGATAATGGCAATGTTGAATCATTTTCCTCAATGTTCGGCATTCACTCTACTCGTGTGCGTCCCACTCAAAGAATGGTTTCTTGTAGCATGTTTTCAGGGAGCAAGCCAGTGACAAGATATGTTTCCGAGCAGACAGGGTATATTTTGGATTCAGACCATGCAATGTATCCTCTTGAAAATATGCAGAAAGGAAACATGAGACAGGTTAGCGGTCCTTTTAGTGAAGCTTTTCTGTCTGACAGTGAGTACCAAAATTTTGTAAATTATGAGAGTACGGCAAGTGATAGTTTTATTCAGACTTTTACGAATGTTCAACTCTGATAATATGATTTTTAATGTAGCAGTCGATAGGTTTTAGCCTCGTAGGAACTGTGCTCCGATTTTTGTCCATTTTCAATTTACTTGTTGAATGGGGGCAACTGTTAATATTGTAGTATCGAAGATACTTGGGCTTATTATCGCGATTAATGACAAAAATGTCAATTTTTAGCTAATCGCATGCATTGGCATATTCTACTGACTGATGGTGCTTGATTGCTTGTTCTGTTAGTGCTATGTATTGGTTTCATTGCTTCTCCATCACCAAATTACATAATATATGAATTCATAACTGCCCAAAATTTATTTTCATGATTTCATGACAAGATCGAAAACATTTTTACCATTAAGATCATAAAAAGGCATAAAAAGGTAATTCTCATATAGGAGTATTTGATTGTTACAAATGCCCAATTTTATTCAAGTACAATGATTATTCACATTCACTCAGCAGCAACATCCTCCATACCAAAACTTAACCATATCTCATTCACCCTATTGAAGATTTCGAATGGAGAATTATACTGAGCAACGGTATAACTTGACTTAGGATTCTCTGTTTGGGCTTTTTCGATGGCAGCTGCCCATTTGGACCCTGCAAGGCTGCTCTCCAATGCTGCGGCTACCTCTCCAACTTCGTAGTCAGAGACAAACCCTCCAAACTGTCGGACTGCCACATAAGTTGAGTCCCATCTCTGGATGTGCAGCCCTTCAGCAGGTGGTGGGTCTGCCTGGTTCTCCTTCGGAACGTAGAAGCTCACCACAAATGAAGATTCACATAAGGGTCCATCACTTGGGGAGACTTGGGTGATCACTGGAGCTGTCATCTCTATTGTTTTCTTGTATTCGTTTTTCCCTTGAATATAATTGAACAGCCTACCGAAAACAAAACCATAATTGATAAACATAAGACTACAATTGAAGAAATAAACAATCAATAGCTGAAAAATAACCAAATAGATACTTCAATATTTATTTATCTATTTATTTATTTTTTATCATATTTTTTAAATTTTGCACTATTCATATTTCTTACATGTCCCTTTAATGGTCTTTGATGACTTATACATAAGAAAAAGTATAATCATGTCCAAGATTTTAAATTCATCTCAATATAAACTTTTTAAACATCAACTTTTTATAATTTTTACTAAAAGATCCTAATCAGTCAAACAAGTTAAATAAGGTTTAAACAGCCCTTGCATTGGCCTTAGCCGTTGGATAATTGGATTGATTGCTCTTAAGCCTTTCACATCATTGTTCAAGCTCTAGAACATGGGTTAAGTTCTTACGTAGTATGAGCGATTAACAATGAGTATAAAATATGCGTTGAACGTGAAATTTCCAAGGTTGCAATAAGATGATGTTTTGATTATCTTAGATAAATACCTTACATTCATCAATATGAAATTAGGTACGGGTTTTCAATTACGAATTTTCGATATGTTAAATTAAGCCAAAAACTCACTACTATTATGTAATCTACGCTAATACAACTTGACAATTAGTGACTAAAAAATATGCATGTAAAAAAGCTTTAAACAAGAAAAAAAAAAAAAATGGAGTATTGTAAAACTTACTGCAAGAACCCAGTACGAGTAGCCTGAACAAGAGAGATATCAACAATTTTGTTGGTGGACACCCAAACAGATGAATTATAGCGACGAATTTCGTAGCCATTACCTTGTTCTATAGTATCGAAACTCGGGCATTCGATTCGATTACATGATGGTGGAAATGATGCAGGCTTTCCATTCCCAGTAAATAATCCACCCAATTGATTTGGTGTTGAAAACAGGTTGAATAACAGAGCTAATTCCAACAGTTTTATAGCAGCCATTTTTGAATGTTCTTGTTTTCAGTTTACTGCAGTTACAAGTTTAGAACCCCAAATGGCATATGACTAAATAAAGGGTGGTGTGCTCACTTGGTTGATGATAAGGTTAAAGTATTTTTTGGGTTTTTTTTCTCCTTGGTTGTGGTCAGGAATTTGCCAACAGAAATGACGTTTATGGAAAAACTAGTGTGAATGTTTTTTTTTTTGAAATATTTGTTTCAAATTAATAAAAATTTATATATTTATGTATTAAATCAATTCAAGTACGAAGTAAGATATACCACCTCTTTTTCTTATTATGTGTTTCGGGGTTTTTTGATGTCCTTCGGGAGAGTTACAATTCCAAGACTGACCTCTGGACGCCTGTACCTGCAAAACAACGGAGACTCCGATGGGTGGGAGCTCCGCCTCCAACGATCAAGTTAGAACGTGTATGAGGAGTAAAGTGCGGACAGTAAAGGGTCTCTCTTGGATTCCAAGAGAGAATCTGCAATGTGTAATTGCTCAGTTTGAGGTGTCAGGAGTCTGACTTTCTTTGATGGAGAGTTGATGTGTATTGAATATTTCTGAATAGATGTTCCTCAGAGGGAAGTATCTCCCTTTTATAGGGTGTTGGAAAACGAGCCCAATATAAGGTTTCAGTAAACCTAGGGCTGATTGGGCTTTGCCTAGAACTTTGGGCCGTAGGAGGCCACTTGGTCAGCTGGCAATTCTGCCTGCTACGTCTCGTGACCTGATTGGTCCACCTTGGACCTCTCACGAGGTGGACTCTGATGGGTCCACGTGGATGACACGTGGCGGGGAAAAATCCCCTAATCATTTACCCTTCACAGGGGTGACGTGGTATGCCACGTGGCGCTGTGACATGTGTCACGCCATGATTGGAGAACGGTTTTTATCCTTTTTTTTTTTTTTTTTTTTTTTTTTTTTACCCTTGAAATTCTCCCCCTATAAATAGGGAGTGTCCAAATCATTTGGACATTCTAGAAACTTTTAAGACATGACTTTGGACGATTGCTCTACCTCTTTGGACGATTGCCTCTTGTTTTACAGACCGCCTGCTTCTTCAGCTGCTTAATTTTTTCAAGGGTTCCAAGACTTCTCTTCTCAAACGTAACCACTTGTTTCCTTTTTCATTTTCTCTTTGTTTTTTCTGTTTTAAAAAATGGTAGCCCAAAAGCACCCGACACGACCTAGGTTAGTGATCAGCCGGTCACTGGGGACGGTTGAATCTAGAACTAGGAGTGCCGCCTGTCCCATGCTGGACCACCCTTTGTGAACTGCCCAGAGTCCGACTTTCTGTGTATCTGTGCAAGACACCATGGCCAGAACAAAAAAAACGGCCAGGATAACAAACTCGGACGGCTCCTCATTCTACGCGCCCATAAGCGAGATATCGGACGTGCCACCTGGCGTCCCTAGCACCCCAAGTGATTCTATTTTGGCAGAATTAGGGGAGGAGGTTCAGAATGAACCTTTCATCATTGATCTGTCCGGGCAGGCGACTGCTTTGCTCGAGAGCTCGAGCGACGACTCTGAGCCCAGCACCTCCAGTCGGCACTTAGGTGACTCAGAGGAGAAGTACTCTCGGCTACATACAGCGAGAGAGAGCCATGAGGTGGAGAAAGGGGAGAGATGGGCAGAGCCGGCTGCCACCCAAAGGGAAATGTACACTCCCTACTTTTTCCATGTTCCCAAAGGCAGGCGCAAGACCATGTCTGAAAAAATAGGGAGCTTTAGGGCTGACCATGTGATGGGTCATGGTTACATTTTAATAGTGTCGGATGCCGAGGATATGGTAGTCTGGCCAGAGTCGTCCAGCTATAGGGACGAGTGTTTTGGCTGTTATGAGGCAGCCATCAAAGCTGGTTTAAGATTTCCTCTACATTCGACTGTAGAGAGGATTTTTGATGGGTACCAGCTGGGTGTCTGGCAATTGGCCCCAAACTCATGGTTCAACATCTTGGGCTATGTTGCCGGCTGCGAGATGTATGGGGTAGAGCCAAGCTTTGAAGCTTTTTCTCATATGAACTGCCTCAGCCGGACCCAAAAAACAAGCGGTACCGGCTGGTATCAGCTGTCTAGCCATAAAGGCTACATGATGACCATGGGAAAAGAGAACAAGTGGAAGGATTGGAGGCACACCTTCTACATAGTCTCCCACCCTGATAAGGTCAAGAACAAAAAGTACAACAGGTGGAACAAAGATCCACCTTACCTAATAGGCGGCTCTGATCTGCCGTCTGCTCCTCAACAAGCAAAGGAAGAGATCCTGGATAGAGGGCTCTTCAAAGTGTACATACAGGCGAACCCCGAGACCGGGGTAAGGGAGTTCGTCCCTCAAAATTACATCCCAAAGTATAAGTGGTTATACGATGGGAAATACCTGGCCGCCTGCGGCCTTAGCGAGGAGATGCCGAGAAGTAGAGGACCGCCTGTTTAGTGTGTCTTGATAGACTTGACTAATTTTTGGGTCTAACCATTTGATTCATCTTTTGTTGATAAAGTTATGGAAAAGATCTCGGCCTCCAAGAAAATAGCCTCCCAACTCCGCGCAACCATTCTTGGCAAGTGGTCCACCGAGGAGTCGCCTGCCAAACAAGCGCCTAGGGTGAGCTACTTCACCTTGGCACAATTTTCCATCTTTTTAATTATAATATGCTGGTCACCTGTTTTTGATTCATTGACTTGTTGTAGAGCGAGACTGTCAGACCTTCCTCCTCAACTCAGCCGGACCCCAAACGTCAAAAACAGACGACTGGGAAGTGCCGACTCCTGGCAGTGCCAGGAGACAGACGGCCGCAAGGCAAGGAAGGACTCCCCAAAGTGGGGCAAGGATTCCGGCCACCCCTCGGAGCAGCCGACTGATGAGTGACATTTATGTTACCCTTAGGGGTAGTGTATTGGTCTCTTTTCTCCTGTTTTTCTTAGGTTTTTCTACCTATTTTCTCCACTTATGGCTTCCTTTTCTTTTATGGATGAAAAGTATGCTTATTTGCGCTTGTTTTGATAATCTTTATGCATAATTTTATCATCCCCATGCTCTCGTGATCTTTGCTATCTTTTGCAGGTTCCATGACGGTCCTAAGCACGGTAGGAGGCCCCTTGGCCAAGTATGGAGGCATGGACAAAGACAAGAGGAGCAAAAGGGAAGAAGAGGAAGCAAGAAGAGGAAGTTCAAGAGGAGGTGTGGCCGAACCTCTAAGAGGTTCGGTCGAACCAAGGTGTGGTCAAACTTTTGAAAAGTTCGACCGAACCTCCAAGGCAGTTTCAACCAAGTTTTCAGCATGTTTACAGGAGGGGTCGAACCAGGAAAGTTCGACCAAACAAGGATCAGGGAGGTTCGACCGAACCTACCCTGAGTTCGGCCGAACCTACCCTGAGTCCGACCGAACCTACCTAGAGTTCGGTCGGACCTTTTCCCGTTTCAGCTGACTTTTTGCGGAGCTTCCTAAGCAATTTTGTAGGGGTATAAATAGTTTTTTTTGCTCATTAAAGAAAAAAGATTTTTCAGTTTAGGAGAGATTTTAGGTTAGTTTTAGGTTTTAGAGAGAGAAACTCTCAAAATTTTAGAGAGAGAAAGTGAGGAGCACAATGGTTTTCATGGATTTTGGATAATCAAATGAGGAATTTGAAGATCTCCACCTTATATCAATGAGCATTTCTTACTTTCTCTTCTCTTATTGCTTTATTTAGTTGCTTTCATTATGCTTGAGTAGTTTCCCTTCTACTAGGTGTTGAGTGAGACTTTGTAATGATTATTTGAGTTATTTGAGATAAATTTGATGATAATTGTGTGATTAAATTGATTGAATTGATGTTGGCATGTTGTTTGTTTTAGATTGGATTGATCTCCCATGATAGCACACTTAATTGCATATTGGTTTTAGTTTGACAAGGGATTGTGAATTAGAATTGATATATTTGATTGCATTTTGGGTAATTTTCTTCTATGCACCTAGTCAATGAGGGATCTAGGCTAGGAATTTGAGAGATTCCTTTTGAGTGTAGTTAATTCTCATTATAATTCTTTCTTTGCATGATTGATTATCAAATGGATTCTCATTAGCTTATTAATTGTTCTAAGTGGATCTTTTCCCCTAGTAGACTTTATCATACCTTGTTCTTTATATGTGTTTTAGTGTAGTTGTAGTGTCCACTATCCATAAACCGATTTCGGCGTAGCTTAAGCATTAGATCGAGAACAATCCAACATTACCGTTCCTTGTGGTTCGACTCCGAACTTACCACTATACTTGTTTAGGGGTTATTTTAGGATTATAATAAATTTTGTTTGGCCGTGAGGAGGTTAGTCAACGACATAATTTCCCCGCGCTCACCGACCCTCAAGAGAAAAGGAGGCGGCCATAGGTATAACTTGCTCAAATCTATGAAGTTTAATCAACCAACCGACTCCTCTGATTTCAGGCGGCTGGCTTTCTATTTTTATGCCGCGCCCTAATCAGTTTTCTTTGCAGATGCCCCACAAGAGCTGGACTTGGTCCAGATGGCCAAGGCTATGCTGAAAGCCATCCCTGCCGAGGAAAGGGACTCTGTTAAGGGATTCGACACCCTTAACCTTGAAGCCATCCTGGTCTCCTTGCCAAGGTAAACTTAGTAAAAAGTTCGCTCTTTAAATTTAAACATTTGCCTGGTCGCTTGTAACTGACGACTGTTTTTGGCCGGCTGCAGTCTATGCTGTGAGTGTATGGTCTCCGCAAGCCCATCACCGAAAAGAACAAAGAGGTAAAAGCTGCGAAGGCCATGGCCGCCTCTGATTCTGATAAAGCTATGTTCCAGATAGCTCAAAACGAGATTTTGACTACTGACGTACGGTATTACCAGGCGTCCGCCACTTTACAGGTCAAGCAGGACTTAGAGGCGGCCTGGAAAAAGATCTTAGAGCTGGAGAAATTTTTAAAGGACCTTAAGGCTGAGCTCAGGCCTCTAAAGGAGGCGGATAAGGAGGCCGAGGGACTCCGCGCTCGGGTGAACAAGCTCAAGGGCCGCCTGCAAAATCAAGAGGCTGACCTCACCCAGAAACTTAACGAAAAAGCTGATGAAGAGAAGATGGCCATCGTTCAGGACATGATGGAGGACACAAACGCCATCATGAAGATGACTTGGGCGACCTCCTTCCCTGATACCAGCTATGAAAAATGGGGGAGCCAATTCGCCGTCTGTTCTGATCAATTCAACAAGAAGATTATGGGACAGGAAGACGGTGAGGAGGACGTGGATGAGGAGGCGTTCGACTTCATTTCCGGGGAGTCGGACCAGGAAGAGGAGGAGAAGCAGGAGGCGGACGGTGATGAGGAGCCGCCGCAGGAAGAGGCAGATGCCGATAAGGAACATGCGCCGGTTGATGATCCAAATCAAGCGGCTGTCAACCTTGTAGGTCCTCCTCCAACTGCTTAAATTCCAATTTTTATGTCAACTTTGTTTGGCCTGCGTGCCATTTGTTCTGTATCTTTACCCGACCAAGGGGTCGGGGTTTATATAAAATTTTTAATTTCAACATTTTCAGTTGGTCATCTGACCGACTGCTTATATTAATTATTTGGCTATTTTTGCCGTTTTTCTTAAATCTTGAAGTTTTTGAATTTTTGCTTTTCATGAATTTTGCTAAATGTATGCGGCTTGCCTCTTGCTTTCATGAATGTTATATACCGACTGTTCTTGCCCCTGGGCGACTGGTGCCTGGTTTTCAAAGGTGAGTTGATTGACTTAGAATTTTTGATACCTTTGAGTATTACTAATTCTAAGTCAATCAATCACTAAGGTGATTACCCCAAACCAGGCGGTAGTCGACCATTGAACACATGGCATTACTCGGCTCTCGGCCTTTATATAGTTCTTGACGAAACTTAGTTTTGTCACTAAGCTTTGTACTTAGTGTATTTCATTGATTGTAAATAGTTCGTCTGCTTGGTGCTTGCATATAGGAACAGGGGCCGAAGGCCGTCTGTTTTCCAAAAAACAGGCGCTTTCATTCGTACCTTTTAGATTCTAAATGTAGATTGTTGAGTGATTATGAACTTTTTATGTTGATCAATCTCCGTCACTTGTACTTGAGTAATCAATAGAAATAGTCGGTTGTGGCCGTCTGTTGTGTTTGCAACTTAGAGGAATAGTGGCCGAATACCGTTTGTTTGCCAAAAAACAGGCGGCTTGGTTCGCACCGTTTAGGTTCCATCTTAAGTTTGCCGGAGTGAACAGGAGTTAACCGTTGGGGTTAACCAATTTGCCACTTTGGTTTGAGTGAGTAGAAGAAGCAGGCGGCTTTGGCCGCATGATTCCACTTTATTCGCCAAGTTTTGCTTGGCTATTTACTCAAATTAGGCTGACTGTATTGTCCCAAGCAATATCAAGCGGTTTCTGACTTAGATTTTAACTGTCTACCACGTGTTTACAATATAGCGGTACGTTTATCTTTGTCTCAAGTCAAGCGGTTACGAGGCTGTCAAGTAGACACTCGGTAGGGCCGTTTGTTTTAGGTTTATAGAGCAATGTGCCACCCAAATGAGAGATGCTCTCTGCGATGAATTCACCCGGATGGATGTCGCCGGATTGCTTCTTAAGTTTTGGGATAGACGTATTAGCTGAATTTTAAAAAGATCATTCGGCCATGGGCCTTAGGTTGATCATCCGGCCTGTGACCTCATTCGATTGTTCAGAAAAGAACAGATGGCTAAGTCATCTGGACTTAACGTTTTTACTCAAATACTTAAAAGAAATAAGGCTGACTGTGTTCTGCACAGGCGGCTTGCCCCACTGAGGAGACTTGCACAATAATGGAAAAAAATTGTAAACTTTATTGATATTCTTACAAATAATTTACAAATCTCAGAAGTAGTACTTTTTTAAGTTGTCTACATTCCAAGTTCTAGTTAGCTACCTGCCGTCTAGTGTTTCCAGTCAGTAGGTTCCGCCTCTAACCTCCAGTCGGTAGGGGCCATCCCAGTTAGGAGTCAGCTTTCCCTGCTCGTTGGCCCTACCGACTGCTTTAATCTTTCGTAACACAAAGTCCCCTACTTTTAGGGGTCGCTTGTGCACTCTTTTATTGTAAGCTCTCGTCATTCTCAAACGATAGATCTCATGGCGCAAGGCTGCATTGCCCCTGCATTTTGGAAGTGAATCCAATGCTAGCTGCATGGCCTCCCAGCTGGCCTCTTCGTCATAAAGCATGACTCAAAGAGTCTGCTCATAATGCTCAATAGGCAGAACAACCTCTGCCTCATAAACCATTAGAAATGACGTTTCTCCAGTCGCCCCTTTTTCAATCGTCCTGATGGCCCACAGAACATGTGGTAGCTCGTCAGCCCATAGGCCGCTGGTTCTTTCAATTTTCTTTTTGATGCCATCAGAGATATTTTTTTGTTAAATACTTCAACCTGGCCGTTTGCTTGGGGGCGGCCAACTGATGTAAAACGATGAGAGATCACTTGGTCTCCCAACCAGTTCTTAAGAGCAGGCGTCTCGAATTGAGGTCCATTGTAAAAAACCATAGACATGGGTACCCCATACCGAGTGATGACATTTCTCCAAATGAAGGAGATGACATCTTTGGTTTTGATGCCTTTGACTTCTTCTGCTTCTACCCACTTGGTGAAGTAGTCGACTTCTACCAAAATATATCTCCGTCCGCCTGTAGCAGGCGTATAGGGACCTAGAATGTTTATGCCCCATTTGGAAAATGGTACTGGGCTATGGAGAGCCGTCAGGTCAGTGGCCGGACGATGGATGAGCTTGCCAAACCTTTGACACTTGTCACATTTTTTAACCATCTCCATGGCGTTTGCCTCAAGGGTAAGCCAGAAATAGCCTTGTTGCCTGGCTCTCTTTGCTAGTGTTCTGCCGCCTATATGGGAGGCACATAACCCTAAATGCAGATCTTTGAGGACCTCTTGGCCCTTCTCTAGGGTAACACACTTCAAAAGAGGTTGTAGATAACCCTTTTTGAAAAGTTCCCCTTTGTGAATCTCAAAGTTAGACGCACGCTTTTTCATTACAATCATCTCTAGGTAAGTATCCGGCAGGGTACCATCTGTTATGTATGCCCGGATGCCATCCATATAGGTTGAGCTTTGATCAAGGACTCCAATAGGTTCCTCCTCAATGCTCCTTTTTTCCATCACTTCCTAAAAAACATATCTTGGTGTGTCACAGGAGGCGTATGATGCCAATTTGGAGAGGGCATCCGCCTGGTTATTTTCGGACCTAGGCACTTGACTTAGGTGGAATTCTTCAAGTGTCCTGGCCTCTTCTTTTACCGCTTGTAGGTACTTTATCATAGCCGGATGAGTGGCTTCATAGTCACCATGGTATTGGCTAACAATCAGTTGTGAATCAGAACAGGCGTCTACTTTCTTTGCCCCGGCCGCCTTGGACATACGGATGCCGGCTAGTTGGGCTACATATTCTGCCTCATCGTTTGAGGCTTGAAACTTGAAACGTAGTGCATACTCATACTTGTCTCCTTCAAGAGACTGACATATGACGCCTGCACCACATCTATTCATTGTGGAGCTCGCGTCCACATATAGCTTCCAGACTTGGTCAGGATTTTCTGGATCAGCCGGCCTAGTCATTTCAACAATGAAGTTGGCAAGTGCCCGCCCCTTCACTGCTTTCCTTGGCTCAAAAGTAATTTCTAGGCTTTGTATTTTAATTGCCCACTTAATCATTCGGCTGAATGATTCCACAGTTGTTAGTGGCCGCTTGATTGGCTGGTCAGTGTAGACCACAACCGGATGTGCCAAGAAGTAAGGTTTCAGCTTCTTGACTGCCATGAAGAGGGCCAAGCAAAATTTTTCAACCATGGGGTATCGTAACTCAGCATTCTTCAGGACATGGCTGATGATATAGATAGGGAGCTGGCAACCGTTTCTTTCAGCAAGGAGAACGGTACTGAGAGCATGATCAGAGATGGCCAAATACATGTATAACACTTTCTTTGACAGAGGGCTGACGAGCCTCGATAAAGAGTGTAAGTGTTCGTTCAACTTTTAGAAGGCCGCCTCTGCAATCGTCCCCCATTCAAACATTATCTTCTTCATGATTGCTTGGAAGAAATAGAGGCACTTGTTGTCTGACCGACTAAGGAATCTCCCTAATGCCGCCAGACAACCTGTTAATTTTTGAACTTCCTTTACAGTGCGGGGCGACTGCATGTCTATGACCGCCTGTATTTTTTCTGGATTGGCCTCTATCCCCCTTTGATCAATCAGAAATCCGAGGAAATTTCCAAACTCAACACCAAAAACACATTTCTTGGGATTTATCATGACCTGGTGCCGCCAAAGTGTGGCGAATGTTTCTCAGAGATCTGTAAGATAGTCTGTCTGGAATTTGGATTTAACAATCATATCATCAATATATGCCTCCACATTCCTTCCTATTTGATTAATGAAGACTGTATTAATCATTCTTTGGAAGGTAGCAGGCGCATTCTTCAAACCAAACGATATCACAGTATAGCAGAATAAGCCTTGATCAGTGACGAATGCCGTCTTTTCTTGATCTTTCTTCCACGAAGCTCATCAAGGCATGGCCGAATGTAGAGTCGACCAGACTATCGATCTTTGGGATAGGATAGCTATCCTTTGGACATGCCTTGTTTAAGTCTGTTTAATCTACACACATGCGCCAGGTTTCGTTTGGCTTTTTTACAAGCACAACATTGGCAACCCAATTAGGGAAGTAGCATTGTCAAATGAAACCAGCATCTAACATTTTTTTCACCTCGGCGGCTGCCGCCTGGCTTCTTTCTTCACCGTGGTTCCTCTTCTTTGCCTTACCGGCTTCTTTTTAGGATCCACAACAAGTTTGTGGACGGCTAGATCCAGGTTGATGCCTGACATCTCGTCCACTTCAAAGGCAAAGATTTCTTTGAATTCTTTTAACAAGTGGTGTAAGTCTGCACCGAGTTCAGAAAAAGCAAGCTTCCCAACCTTAACGGTCCGGTTGGGATGAGAGTCATCTAGGACGATGTCCATGTGTTCACCAGCCGGTTGGGGACGGAGTTCATCTGGCCTTTGACCGGTCAGTGATTGCTATTGCTTGTCTTTTTTTCTCGGCTATCATTTGGTTGGCATTTCTCTTCTTGCCGGCTGATGTTGCAGCAGGCGCAGCTTCCTTGACTATGTCAAGGTCAGTAGTTTCTCCACTAGGGTCGGGTGCGACCACAGTAGGCTTGACATCAGAGAGGTATCACTCCTTGGCCATCTTTTGGTCTCCCCGTAGGGAGCCGACTGTTCCATCATCCCTCTCAAACTTGATAAGCATGAGAGAAGGGATGATAACAGCTTTGGATTCATTCAGGGTAGGGCGCCCCAAAATCATGTTGTAGGCCGTCGGTTCTTCAACAACTAAGAACCGAACCACCATGTGGCGTCCCTCCCCTTTCTCGCCTAGAC